GACAACGTGTTGAGGAGGGCTTGGGTGTCAGCGTCATAAGAGCAGCTCTGTTGGTGGCTTTCATCGGCATGTTTGTGTGTGCTTTTTTTTCCCCCTTCCCTCATATAGTTTTCTTTCTCCCTTTCTCTCTCCTCTTTCTTCTTTGGTTTATATGCGTCCTGTTGGGTTATGTCCATCTGAGCTGATCTGGCCCAGCTTTGTCCACTTAGCATTTCCTGTGTGTAAAAAGCTACTTAATGGCACCACGCCACATGGTGACCGCCATCTCCGTCACACTCACCCCTACACATGCACACCCCCTTTGCTCTTAACACAAGCACGATCCAGTGCGCGGCTCTGCGTGGGCCACCTCTGATTTAAAGCATCCCATAATTAGCCATTCCCTAGCCGGTGGTCGCCACGGAGAGAGGCTGGTGGTGGTGGAGGATGGTGGGTGTCCTCTCTCCGCTTCCCCATCCCCTCACGTTACAGCTTCCTGTATTGATTGCTGGGACTGGTGATGACGAGGGCCTGGCTGATGAAAAGGAGGGCTATTTCTATCCAGGATGCTGTATTGATCGCTGCCTCCTTCCTACACGCACACACACACAGTCGCACACGTGGAGCTATAGGAAGGTATTTATTACATATAAGGAAGCACGTAAGCATAATCAAGCCATTTTGGTGTATGTCGGGATCCATTTTGTTGGCTCAGTTTCTTCAGCTTTTAGGATGACAGTTGCTGCTGGTGGAGTTAAAGCTCTGAGAGCTGGTGTGGTCCGCCAGTCGGGCAGGGGGTGGTGCTGGGATGGTTATACCCCTGACCCCCGGATTTCTGCTGCTGACCTGTGAGGCTCCTGATCAAATGGGGGTTTTGTTCCTGGGCTCCCCCCAGGTCCAGCCACTGATCAGGAGTTGCTCCTCCATTGGAGCTGAACAGAATGCGCTGGAGGCATTTCCATGAACCCCCCCCTCCTCTAAACTCCCTCCCTCATCTACCACCCCCCTGCGCCAGGCCACTCCTCCATTTTGTTTTCTCCCTCTCTCTCACTCCCTCTCTCTCTGACGTTTTCTTGTTCCCTCTCCGTAGCCGTGCCCTTTCCTGACCTCTGTGCGTAAACTGAAACGGGTCAGGACACCCGCCAGGTCACTCGAGAGGGGGGGACTCAGGTTACAGGTTCTGATTTGTGAAGTTTTTTTTTTCTTTTTTTCACACACATTGACACATGCATACACCAGCATAGCACACACACACACACACACACACACACACACACACACACACACACATATACACACACACACACACACACACACGTAAATCCACATGCTACGTTTTGTTACGTAATTGTGGAGCGACCGAGCTCTGGCAAGCTCATGCTTCAGACATTAAACTTATCTGAGACATGAAGGCATGAGTGTGATACCACCTCTTGTATGTAGGAGAGGAGTGTGTGTGTGTGTGTGTGTGTGTGTGTGTGTGTGTGTGTGTGTGTGTGTCTGTGTGTGTGTGTTTTCCTGCATTTCTACAGAACAAAAGGGGTTGTGTGGTTTCCTCACTGGTGCATTGTGGGCATTGACGGGGTTGGAGAGGGGGTAGGGTGCTGAGACAAACCACTCAACTTTGACCTGGAGAGACAAGCTGCTTGTGGTCTGAAGACAGGAGAGGAACAGGAAGGACTCGTGCGCCACACAGTCTGGAAACCAGTCGTTGATTATTCATCATTATTCAGAATGCATGGTGTTTTGTGGGGGGATGGGCACAATTTTTTATTTGCTTTCTACTGATTTCTGCTGCAGGAATGCCTTTCAGTCATTTGGATGGTCTGATGATGGTAATCATGAAATCAATTGGCGTTTTAATTTGAAAACAGGGTTCAGGCTGCTTGACATTTCCTTGGGTTTGTTGTTCATGAAAAATAGAAACCAGGTTTGGTGTGTGCACGTCCTCGCAGTTTTGGTGGATACATTCATAAATGATTGATAGTTAAATCTTGGAATTTGTTATTATTGCAGCACAGCGACTTGATATCGATCCTTATTGGGCGCATAAAGCCAAAAGCTTGGGTTGTGACTCATCTCGTCGTCCCTTCTGTTTTATTTCAGCTCTCACATCTGTTGTTCAAAATCTTTGCTTTCACTCATTTCCATTCCCTGATCCTCGTCCTTTCCTCAAAGCCAAATCCAATAGCTGAACGGCCAAAATGGATGAGTCTTCCAAGAGCAATCGACTCGAATCAAACTGACCCTGGCAGTAACCCTCACAAACAGCAAGGAGAGAATCAAAAGGGATATCTGAGAGAGAAAGGAGTGAATTAATTTTTGGCAAATCACTTGGATTGAATATTTCATCAGTAGCAGCTTTCCTTTCTTAGAAATTGTGGAAATGTCAAAGGTGTGTAAATAAGGAAGAAGAAGTTTGCTATTAAGGCACAGTTGTTCTGTGTATACGTTTTTGTGGGGAATAAACTTCTTTCTAAATGTTTCTAATTTGAAGCACAATTTGCTCCTTGTGATTTCTTTGATTGATTCTGTGTGATATCTGTGGAGTGCCTTTTGAATTTTACACAATTTGTTGCTACTCATATTAAAATGTACTCAAGATAAATGGTTATGTTCTAAAAACTAAATGTTAGAATGAATGAATGCTAATAGACACATTACTTTGAAATGAACGAAAATAAGACAAAACATGTCCATATTTGTGTTTTTCATTTTTTATGCATTTTTAAATTCTATCAGTGGATATTGTATATTTCATTGCCCTTTTTAGTTCACAGTAGCAACAAGAATAAATTGTAAGAAGCCTCTTCTTTTTAATCAAAAGTAGTCTTTTAAAATAGTTTTTATGTATTATGTTTGTCTTTCATACCAAACGTTTTATGCAGTTGGTAATAAGAGCTAATATAGAATATTAACTTACTCATTAAGTTTTGTAAATTGTCAAAAGTATTTTTTTTATTTAATAATTTGAAAATTCCTCCAAAATAACCTTAAACTGATTTATTTAGTACCAGTTTTCTGAAAAGCTTTTTGTGACCATGGAAGTCTTGGTCTATTCCACATTACGTAGTATGTAGTGAGAGTTGCATTTGATTTAATAAATTTCATGTAAACATTAAGTAAATGTTTTGTAAATTAAGCCGTCTGCATTCTAAATTTCAAAAGCTGTCCTAATGCTGCAAAGACAGTTCTTTTATTTGAATTATACTGAATTATTCCTTTAATTTGTTTTGTTTTATTTAAATGAAATTGAACAATTTTTAAGAAACAAACTAGTTTTTTAGAAGCATACAACGAAACAAACTATTTTATATATATATTTTTACACTAATCTCCAATCAATCCCGATCATACACTTTCTACCTTTATGTTATTGTATAGAGGTAGTCAGACAGCATCCATCAGTGCAGTGACTTCAAACACTGTTCTTATGTTGTAATTAATTCACACTTCTTTTGTCACTTTCCCTCTCCTCTCTGTTTTATACATTCCCACTTACTCTCTTTTGCATATTCAACGAATTCTATGAATAGACCACCTATAGAGCACCTTTAGCTTCCTGTAACTGCAGTCGTTGACACAAACATTATAGAAAAAATGTTGCTGAGCACATTTTCCCTCCTTCCTCTATAGTTTCAGATTTGATTCCCTCTGCTCATTTGCTCTTTTCTTTTCCTGTCTCCTACACATCTGTCTCTACAGCAGGCGCTGAATTTACAGATAGCCTGTGTGTTATTTTTAGGCCTCGATGTATAGTAGGTAGTAGGTTTGCTCTGCACACTGCAAGCTCGTGTGGGTGTGTGTTTACCTATGCCGAGATCCGCAGGGCTTGCTGCGTTTCATGAAGGTCGTGGATATAGTGCACATCAGCCGTTTGTTCTGTGCGATCAACAAGACATAAATCATTGTCCAGTGGTTATGTAGTAGCCAAATCAATAATGCCGATCATGTAGATAAGATGGATGGTGGCTGTGCTGAGAGAAAATGATTGCATGGGTGCATGCTCGTCTTTTTCCACTGCAGAAGGAATAGGAAATGGTGCCTCTGCGAAAAGTAGATAAAGGGAGTAAAGCAAGGACGCTGTGTGTGAGATAAGTCCCTCTGTGCACAGACTGTCATGGCAGTTGGTGCAAACCACATACAGTCGATCCGCCATGTTGAAGTGATGTCTTTCAGTGTACACTGTGTGCTACTGGATGTTGTGTTTGCCGCATGGAGCAGTGTGTACAAGCACCCACAGTAAACTTCTGACTGTTAATAAGTGTCGATTCTTTTGTGACAAATATTTGGAGTAGATAGGGGAGTTGTTTCTTCTTGCTCTCGGGCAACTGTTCAATATTTAAGCGTTTAATTAGCTCTAACAAGCTGTGGACTTCCATAACATCAATGCTGAGCTTTATGTTGGCGGACAATAAGCCAGAACTAAGGCATTAAAATTAGTCTTTTGATTGAAAAATTACCTTTTCTGCTTGAGACAGAGGCTCTCTGTACATTTAATTTGCCTATTCAAGATAAAGCATACGGTCTTTGTCAATTTGCTTCATACAAGGTTACAAAACATCCAGTAGAACCGGTCACGGTAAAATACATTTGTAGACCACTGAGGAGAAAAAGACTTTGACGTATTGAAGATATTTGAATTGTCCTTAATGTGCTCCCAAATGATTCAGTGTTATTCACAGACATGTGGATGTCTACAATAATTTAAATGAAGTCAGATATCCTTTGTCCTACTGCGGTTGTGCTCTTACATATAAGTACACCATTAGAATTATTACATCAGATTATATCTTCTCATCAATTAACCCCACAGAAACAGGTGTAACTTTATGCATCGATACTGAAATTAGAACAGTTTCAAGTAACATGAGCACCAACTTCTATCACACTGCATACAACAAACTGGGAATAAATACAGACCCTTGTGTATTGCAGGCATTATATTTTTTATCAGCGACTTCATTGAGCTATAAGCGCCTGCCACTTTTAAATGGATAATTGCTTTTTTCTCCCAACAGAGCAAACTGGTGATGGAGGGCTTCCGCAGCTTAAAGGAGGGTGAGCAGGTGGAGTTCACTTATAAGAAGTCCTCTAAGGGCCTGGAGTCCCTGAGGGTGACCGGACCTGGTGGGGGACCCTGTGCAGGCAGTGAGAGGAGACCCAAAGGGAAGGTCCCACTCCAGAAACGCAAACCAAAGGGAGACCGGTGAGTATGAAAAACGTGAGAAATGTGAAAATGAAAAAAGCAATGGTTTTTCTGTGTCTGCAGGGATGTAATGATTCATATGCATGCATGCACAGCTCATCAGTCTCGGCTTCGTCTCACAAAACCTAAATGTATGTTGAGCGTTGGTGGCTTGCATTCAGAAAGCAGTGCTGCCTATAGTAGAAGGAGACATATGTTATATGTACATCTCACAGCAGTGAGCTATTTCTGAGTGGGCTGAGATTATAGATTAAATCTATTCAATCTGCCCGACTACATGCCTGTTGCTATGGTTATTGTGCACCATAATAAGGAATTGAATAGAGCACTTTGCCTGCCATTGCCGCTATTTTAAATCAATTTGCCAGCTTTTACATTAGAGACAGCATTAGCACAGGGATGGATTGGGCTTATATGCATCTCAATGCGGCAGTAGCTCAATCAATTGTTTAGTCCTCAGTAAAATCCTGAAGGGTGCTTTGCTAAAATCTGTCAGAGGGAGCCATATGGAGCTCCTTGAAAACGCCTGGTGGTTTAAGCGGAGGGAGGCTGCGTTCCCTGTCCTCCTTCTGACAGAGAATGATGTATAGCAAACCCCTACCAGGCAGCGTCGAGTATATGCGTTGTAGGAAGGCATCAAATGACTACGAGACTACATTTACATTAGAAAGTCCAGCTCTGCCACTCTTTATGCTGCTGGCCGCTGTCTCACCATGGCTGCTTCAGTGGAACAACCCTGTGCCGTCCAGTTTTAAGGTGTGAAAAGAAAAGCTTTTGTTAGAAAGGAGGAAACAGTATCTGGGAGAGAAGGCTCCCTGATTGTTTTACACAACTGAATAATTCAGTTTATTTGGGATAATTGATCCAGTGTTAGGTCAAGTGTCTCTACCTTCTACTAAGGTGGTACCAAGGCAGTATTGGATTCAGAGATGGCAGGTAGATGTCTGTGATGTCATTCGTCTTTGTGAGCATGCTTCTGTGGCAATTACGCTGCTCTGACCCCTGCTGGTCACTCTGTTATGCAAGCATTATGTTGAAATTTTCAGCTTTTGTGGAAATAACAACTGGTAACATTAATTATGGAAGCAGAAGATTGTTGAAGTACTGCCTCCATCAGGAATAAGCATTCTCTCTTCAACTCGTCCCTGATAAACCACGTGTTATTGCCCAAATGCTTTCAGCTATCTGGTCTTCATTAGGGTGGCATCAGAGGTGGTTTCCAGTTTCTGTCTACACAACATAGTTTATCAATTAGTCATACACTTTATATTATATATAATTTATTTAATTTATATATATCATTTTTTACAGAATAGAATATTTAATATTATTTAAATGTTGTAATTGATTTTTAAAAAAAGCTTGGAACATGACAACATATTGTGCAGTGCTAATTAGCCTCGTTGATGCATGAATCTTGTTGCTAAGAAAAATGTAACTGCATTTCTGGCACTGCATTGTTTTCTGTAAATATTGAAATGTATAAAGTTTAAAGCCTCACAATAGAGGGATTAGATTAAACGGTTTGTCTTATAATTTGAATCTGAGATTTTTTAATGAATTTTTAATTTAACAAACATGTTGAAACATAACCTTAATTCGACTACAAATTAATACATAATTGTTGATACCATTGGATTTGATGTATTGTTGGCTGTTCATTTAAATTGTGCTATTTTTGAATGAATAAATTACTCTAATTAAATATGAATCCAAGTTGTAAGAACACTTTAATGGTATCTTAAAACCTGCATCTAGCGCTTATTTGTTATATATTCCAGGTTTATCTATGTCTTTGTTTAATTCAAACAAATGTTGAATGCTATCTGGAAATCCTTCAGTCTGTGTTAAAAACCAATGAAGACTAAAAAAAAAAAAGTGTTTTCTTTAAGTGGTAGCAATTTGCTAACATGCTGGTTTACTGTCGATGCTCGTTTGGTGGTTAAATGTGAAATCGGATGCATTTTAAAAACTTGATAGTGAACCACTGTTTTATGATCATGTGCTGCTTTTAGCTTCTAGGTAAAGACTTTGTTTGACCACATCCTTCAGTAGAAATCCCCATGAGACACAGTGATGTGTTACACTGGAATGTAGACATTTTCAAAGCAGTGGATGTGTCACCTTTTTTAAACTTTGTTGAGACGTGTAAAGGATTGCATAGCAGACTGGCAATAAAAGACAATGAACCCTGAAAAGTGATGTATATTAGTACAGCCTAAAGCATCAAAAACTATCAATCAGATTTGATGTAGTGCCAAAACAGTTGGTGGCATCCTGACAGGCTGAATTCTTGGCCACTTTTGCATTTCTTTTTTTTTTTTTTTTTTTTTACTCTTTCAGCACCCAATTGCTTCTTGTCAAATTGAATAACACTGTGTAGTTTGGCATGCTACAGTGCTACATTTGATCCAGAGCAATATCATGGCTCATACTACCATCTAGTGGTGAGTTCTAGTTAGAGTGGGTGTTTTAACTCTGCAGTGCTGATGTTTCATGAGGAGTCACGAGGAGTGAATTTTTATCTTTTAAGGTATTTCATGTATGGATTTTGTTAAAAAATGTATAGTTTTCAGCTACAAACTGTTCTCAGATTTAAAACTATAAACTATGTTTGGTTTTTTTTGTCTCCAATATGTTTGCCATAATCTCATGTATTCTTTCTCTCCTCCTTGTCTCCTCATCCTCTGCAGCTGTTATAACTGTGGAGGTCTGGATCACCATGCCAAGGAGTGTGGCCTGCCCCCCCAGCCAAAGAAATGCCACTACTGCCAGAGCATCACGCACATGGTGGCTCAGTGTCCCCACAAGGCGCTGGCGCCCGCCACAGGCTCTCAGGACCAACATGCGTCTACCTCGGCCTTCAGTCCAGGGACCGGGCCCTACCTCTGCCCCCCAGAGGAGGAGGAGCGCTCCGGCTCGTCTCCCCTGGAGGGTTCCTCCTCCTCCCCCGAGGAGCCCCACACACGCGGCCCCCGGACCCAGAGGTGGAGGAAATCCTGAAAACAGCCCATAGAGGTGAACCTTTCACCGCTAACCCTCATGTCTCTCCTCAATCAAGGATACCTGAAGCCCCCCCTCATCTACCTCACACCTGTGAAAAAATGGGAGGTCTTGATTTCTTTACTTTTTATTTTATTGTTTTTTTATTTTTCTAACCAGCGCAGCTATGGCAACGATCACCGGGGTACGGACGTGTGTGAATATGTGTGACTGACTTGCAGTCATCTGGTGCAGCTATGGCAACCACCGCTGGAATGGTGACTGCAGGGAATGACTGTTTTTCTTGTTTCAATCAGTGCAGCTCAAGAGTGAAACAACATGGTATGAATCTTTTTTTTTTTCCTTCTTGGACCTACGTGTTGGCCATTTTGAATGCTTTTTCCCCCTTACAGTTGTTTTTTATCCTGTAGGCCTAATCATTCCAAAAATCACGATGCATCCTTTTAGCACACACAGTAGCTCATTTTAAGAAGGATTAGAATAAGGCTTTCTAAAGCTTGAGACCCTCTTAAGCGATAATCCAGACCCATAGGATTGTTAGCTTGACTTATGAAGATCTTTAGGGAAACTATGGATTCCAGAGGGAGTTTTTTTTTGTTTTTTTTAAAGATGGTGGGCTGCTAAACACATTCTCTATAATCTTAAAACACTTACTACATACCTCTCTCTTACATGAAACAGACTGGACCAACTGATTGTCAAAGAGTGTGTGTTTGTGCATGCACATGCAAGACTGAGAGAGAGAGAGAGAGAATGAGAAAGTGTGTGTCTGTATGCGTGTGTTGTGCATGCTCCAAAAGGAAGAAAAAAACTGTCAGACTAGAGTGCCTCTTCTCCAGGTGCGAGTCAACACTAACTTAACTTTCGATTTCCTATTATTATCGATAGACACGCCTTAGACAAAACATCATATAATCCAGCTAGATCATAGTTTTAGATTCAAGGTAATGAATTGATCATTAGACTTCCATTTTGGTTGTTGCGTAATTAGTTGAAAATAACATTACAGTTTATAAATCATAGTATAAGTCATTAATATATATGTAAAGTCACAAGATATAATTGAAATTCTATTAACTTTAAGTAATGCATATATAAGGAATTAGCTCTGACATAGGTGAATAGCCCTGTATATTGCATGGGATACTTTGTTGTTGTGTGAAAACTTGTAGCTCTCTCTCTATTTAACCGTTTTCATCCAGATCAAACTGACCTTTCTTTTTCAAAATTCTTAACTCCACGCCTTCTTCTTTATTAGTTCAAATAGTCAGCAATCACTTCTGACCCAGCACAACGACTCACCTTGTTTGATTACAGGTGTAGTGTCAGACCATTACAGTATCATCACAGCTGCTCTACATACTTAATACCTCACCAATTCTTCCTCTCAGAAATGAATGTCACAGAACGTCAGGCTGTTTGCTCTCCCAGCTGTGTTACAGTAAGATCAAACCACCTGTTTCCTCTTCCATCTGTGCCTACCAGTTGTTAGTTAGCACCAGCCAGGTAACGCTCACTCCTCTTTGGAATGACATGCCGTCACTGCTGCTGCTGCTTCAGACTCACTGAAGAGAGAGAGAGAGAGAGGGGGGGAGAGAGAGAGAAAGAGTGCTGCTTTTGGTATAACTTGAATCCCAAGCATGGCTTTAGTGGCACTTATTTGTGACCTAACAACTCTTCTCTGACCATATTGAATGTGAAAAGAGCTTATCTGAAGTCGACGCCTCACAAAAGTTCACGTCGGGTCGCTTTGGAGTTGTATCTTAATGTTCTGACAAATCAAATAACTTTGTATGATATCAAACTAGCTTGTGTGTTTTTAAAAAGCTCTAAAGTAGACAACCAACTGTTTTTGGTATATTCCTATACCAAAGAGTTTGGCTTTATTTTTTGAAGGCATTTAAAGTTAAGACTTGCTGAAGTGCTTGCTATCTTCGCTCTTTCAGAATAAGAGGGACTTATTGCTGAAAGTGCAACACTGCAGTTATTTTTTTTTTAATGTACAGCTTTTTGAATGTGTGCGTGCGTTAAAAATCAAATCTCAACAATGCAGCATGACAGAAAAAAAAAAAAAAAGTGAATGACCAAACCACGTAAGGAGCACAGCCCATGCTCAAATCTTTATGGAAACAACATCTTTTTGTATGATGTATTTTTACATTTTTACACACAATTCCTCTCAGGATGATGAACTGTTCTCAGGGAATTAACCAAAAAAAGTGTATTTTATTCTTTTGGGAATCATCCACTGACTGACTCAACAAACTCTGTTAAGCAACGGTGAAGATACATATGTAACTGATTCATGTACTGATATTAGCAACTACCTCTTGAGTTATACATAGTTGTGCATTTCTTTTTGTTTTGTATATTTTTTGATGAGCTTGTATGATTAACTGTAGGTCTCTATTGTACTGAGGTGTGAGAAGTTCCCTAGTGTTGCCACAGACTCCCTGGTCTTCCTTCCCAGATTTGATGAGTTACTTTTTTTTCTTTTACTGCAAAACTTTTTTTTTTTGTTTACAGCAAAAGCCTACCTCATATGCGCTGTTCCTCCACAAACTCCTTACCTCCTCCCAGCCCCCTCTACCTCCTCCATGCAGTCTTTTGTTAATGAAATTGCCACTTGTCGCACTAGAGTCACACGGCATTTTCAACAAATCAGCCCTGAAATGGCTTGTCACTTGTGTCTCCAAATATATCTTACAATCAAAGCTCTTTTTGAAGGTTTTACACAGGTAATCAGAATGGGCATGATTGTCTTACACATCCAGGGTGAAGTTTTTCTGCCAGCTCTGTGTTATACTGTCAGTATACACTCATCACGTAGCTGCAGACAGCCAGTGAGTTTACCTCAGTTTCTTGGGCTAGCTATAGACATGTTTAATATGAAATATTTTACATTTCCGTGTGAACACATTTTGAAAAGACATCGACTGTTGTTTTTAGTTTGTAAGTATTTTATCATAACCGTTTTTTGTAACCACTTGATATGATGGGCTTAAGGTGGAGAAGAATAGGATTGTACTTCGCACAAGGAGTGCCTATCGCTATGTTTTGTTTGTCTGACTCTATTACCAAATAGATATTTTCCTCATTTTGGGCTCCATGGTAATGGCCTTTGTCAACCATTTTTACAGCCTCAGATAATCAGAAGTTGTGTGGTTTGGAGATGACGCCCCTTCTTGTTGCAAACTACATTTGTAGTTTAGAACGGCATTGTTAACAGTTAACATGAAATCAGTAGATTTTGTACTAATGGTGACATTGCATAGATGTCATTATTACAAAAAAAAAATGTTTATGAAGATAAATATTGTTATCAGTACTCTTTTAAAACTAACTCATGAGATCAAAGACTGATTTTGCATACGACCGTAGTATTACAATTGACACTCAGCTGAGAGAATCACAATATTGCATTGGGCCTACATATGGAACTGAACGCTTGTTGATGCCAGTTATGAACAAAATACACAACCGTGGTAAAATATAGTGATATTATTGATGTTAGTAGCTTTATATTTTCTTCCAATCAATGTAACTACTGATTGATCTCTTTTTTATTATCCTGTTCAGTATTCGACACGGCCAAGAAACCCTCTCAGACGGGAGAATAATCTCCTTAAGGTGGTGATAATCAATTGGTTATTGTAGAGGTTTGTCAAGGCTGCATATAGGATAACAAATTGGTAGAACCATGTTTCCCCCCCAGGCGGTGTCATTATGGTCCTATCTTATCAAATGTCCACTGCTTTTACAATCACATGTTTCTGATCTCATTTTCTGTTCTTCTGAGACGATTTCTCAATTATGAAATAAAGATCTCATAATACAAGGTAGATGTCTTAATTATGGAATAATAATTACATGGAACATCATAAATGTGAAATTATTGTTACACATGACCATGATATGGTAGAATTGTGTCATTAATATTTTTCCACTTATTCTTTTCTCATGCAAACATGAGACAGCACAAGCAAATGCCTAAACATGAACATGGTATTCTCAGATGTAATTTACTGCCACAAAACACACCACTGGCTTCTAAATTTAAAATGTACACCAGTTTGCAGTGTTCAAAGGCATTGCAGAGAAGATATCACTGATATGACACCACAATAACACAGATATTTATTAAGAAACTGTTTTAGTCTTTCATTTCTTTAAATTCATTTGTGTAAAGCTGTAGGAGTTGAAAGGATAATTCAGGCTTTGTGGTCTATGTTTCTTTTGTCCCCCAAGTCACGACGTCACATCCGGGTTAGCCTCTGTTACGCAATCATCGACAGTATATATAACTTAAGTACTCAATGCAGTCTTTAATTCGGCGTTGATATTCCGTCGTCATGAAAACACAAGACGTGTATCTGTTTACGCTCCATATACTCTTAATACAAATCGGCCTCCCCCCATAGCAACTGCCATTAGAAACCTTCAACCTGAAAGAGTTTAATAGAAAAACTACAACTCCCATAGTGGGGGGAAACCTTCAACCTGAAAGAGTTTAACAGAAAAACTACAACTCCCATAGTGGGTGGGGGGCGCTGGTACTTACGTCATCACATCTTGATTTCGTCCATATCCATAAAACTAAAAGTTTGTTTTTTTTCTTCCAACTTTAGTTATAATCTCTGCTGTCTAAAAGCGTATCCGGTCTCCTCCGCCGTGTTGTCATTATTTATATGTATATATATATGTATATATATATATGTATGTATATATGATGACATATATATGTCTATGATTACAACACGTCTGAGCGAACAGCGGCTCGTGATGTTTAGCTCGTGAACATCAACGGCTTCATTGGAAATGTTCGTTAAAGGCCGCTAAAATAATAATAATGAAAAAAAAAAAGGTAAATTTAAACTGAATAAACACCAAGATCTACCGTCCGTATCCGAGCAGAAGGAGCGAGCTACTGTTAAAAGTAGAATTTGAATTTGGGGTTTTTTTTGGGGGGCTATTTCAGTCGCTCTCCACTGAGAACCACGTATCTGCAAATGTTACCAGCTTTGATTTAAATACTTGCTTTCTGGTGGAGAGGTAGAATAGATGAGAAGATTGGTGCTAGTCCAAAGTGGTTAGTGAGTTTAGCACAGAGATTTTGGGGGCAAAGGGGGAAACAGATATCTTGGGGCTGTCCAAAAGGTTAAACAAAAACTCCTACCACCTTTTTTTGAGATTGTAAAAAATAAAAATAAATAGGCAACATGTTAATTAGTGAACAGATCATGTAATTTAGTGGAACTGATTTTAATTAGTGAACTGTAGAGGTGCCAGTAGGTTACCTAACTCCCACTGCTCCCAGTCTTTGTGCCAAACTAAGCATATGTAAGTATATTTCCCAAAGTGACACGCTTTTGCTTTAAGCCCAGTGGCACTGCATTTTGACTGACAGCTGAATTTAAGCCTTTTTCTTTTTTCAAAACCTTAAAGGAGCATTTAAACATTCAGTTTATTACGTTTTCAGGTTTTCATTGGACAGCAACTTAATCCTAATTACATTAAAATAGGCCAACTAATATAGGCTTATTGAAGGAAACGCTGTCTACACTTTCCAGATGCATAAGAGAAAAATCACATTTAGGCCTATATAACAGAGACAAAAACCCTGAATTATCCTCTAACAATGTATCAAAAGCCTCTGAAGACAGACAGGATGTACTATGCCATGATCACAGACCGGGAAGCCTCAGCAGTCTGTCTCACTGCTCCCTCATGTGGTTGTTTTAGGAGATACCTGCAGACAGACTGAAGTTCACATACAGTACCTCAACTGCTGCATTTGTCAGCTGCTCTGTGCTTTGCCTTGACTGGAGAAACAATGTATTCTAGGAAATGATCATTTATGATGTTTTTTTTTTTTTTAACCGAACTGTATCATGTCAGATTCATATTGTGGTTATGTACACGGAATCATACTGAAACATTGGACCTCGAAAAGGACCTATAAATCCAACCAAGGCAGTTAAAAGTGCAGATACCTCCTTGTATTGACTAATAACCTCACACTTCTCACGTTTGTTTATGTTTTTTACTCTGTACACCGTGGCCAGAGGGAGTCTTCTGTGCTCTCTTTCTCTGGAGTATGTCTAGAGCCAAGCACTGATTGCTTTTGAATGGGGAAAAAAAATGTTCTTCTATGTGCATATCACTCATTATTTTAGCCCCAATATAAGTGTACTGCCTTTTTTATTTCTGTGAATCTTGGATTGGATTTTTAAATATGTCTGAAATGTTTTACTTGATTGGAAAATAAACATATTATATTGGCATTAAAGTATGTATAATTTCCTACTAGAGATTGAAGTGGGTTAATGCTTGTTTGGATATTAATTTCTGTTTCTAATTCACTCTCATACATTTGCACAGACACTCTTGTTTTCTGTTACCAAAAGTATGTTTCACACCGAAAGAGGAATTTCACCAATTTTACACATCAAGATCAGTTTACTAATTATGAGAAGTAGTGCTCATACTGTGAAAATTGTTATTCTGTAGCTCTGGAGGAGCTTTTTGAAGTCTTAACAAAATCATTTGAGTGATTATCTGTTCTCCCGGGCTACAATTTTAGAACAAAAGCTTGGTCTAATGAAATTTCCTGCTGGGTTGCAGCTGCATTGTGGGACAAATGGGATCTGGCATTTTTTAAGCTTGAACCAAACACTAAAAATCAGAACATCTCTTCCTTCATCAATTAAAAAACAATTCCCCAAACTACCCTCATGCCCAACCCATCATAATGGCTAGAATTAATACTAGAGCTAATCCTGTGTCACCCTAAAGAAATACTGCCAGCAGGGCCAGAAAAGATGTAACTACAGTTGTCGGTCATATTAGGATGAATATGAATAACTCCAGCTTGATATTTTAGTAAGTAACCTACAGAGGTTTAATGTGATTGGCTAAAAAAATGCTTACTTTTCTGTTAAGGTTCTTATTAGCCTCATATGTGGTAGATTTCTTTATAGGGTCTACATAAAAAACTACCACATTAAATGAAAAATTAATCACCATCAGTTTGAATAACTAATTCATCATCAGACTTTTATAACATAAAACATTTACTGCATGGCTCCAGCTCCTCCAATGTGAGGATCTGTGACTTTTCTCTGTTTTATATAATTAAAAATGGAATATTTGGGCAGTTTAGACTTGGTCACTCAATAAGCTATACATTTTTTTTTTTTTAGCATTTAGCATTTGTTTCTAAAATTGTCAATTTAAGTAAGTAGATAAGCTGACTGAACATGTGGAGAGAAAGGGAGCGAGATTACATGCAACAAAGATTGTTGGCTGCATTTTGAACCAAGGTTGCTGTAGTTACATGGCCTGAATCTTTGAAGACGTCTCTTTGAGCTCTGGGAAAATATGAGCACCATTTTTCTTTTTGACACTTTTTATAAATAAAATAATCAACAGATCAATTTGTATTGTCATTTTTAAGTTCAACCCAATCGGTTGCTGGCCTCTTTGCAATTTTTTTTTACCTTCTTTATGGATCTTAAGTTGTCTGAAAATAGAAAGAGTGCGATACATCAATCACAGCATCTTACATGTCCCTGAAACTCAAAGTAAGTGATGACAAGAGTTCAAAGTGAAAGAAAATGGATGTCTTCATTCTATGTGTTGCCCTCATTCTCCACTAGGAGGCAACCTAGTGCCACTGTTTCATTGCTCCCCCTCAGGCCTGTGAAGGACACAGCCAAAGCAGATTAATCACCTCAACACATCTGACTCACCAAAGACGCTGGTCTTTCTTCACAGCCCTCTCTCTATTCTGCTGCTCCTCTTTAATGTCCTTGCGCCTCGCTTTTTTACAACCAGCTGTCTCTCTTTTGGTCTCTCCCGCTAAGCACATCCAGGCTTGAGGTGGTCCATTAAATAAACGCTCTTTGTTTACAGTTTCCCTTTGTTACCCACCATCATTTTCCTATACATCTCCCCTTTTATCAATATACAATCTCTGGAGATGGCCTTGTCAAGGTCAGCTATTTTTATGGCGTGTGATATTGGAGGTATCGCGGGGAGGTGGCGATAAGAAGAAGGCAAGGGAGAAAGAATAAAGAGAACTAAAGGATGAATACCACTGGGGCCTTTACTGCAAACAGCGCAGTGTGTGTTTTCAGGATGTCAGAGGCAGTAAGCAGGCCGGAGAGAGGAGAGGAGTACATATCTTCACCGTCTTTCTCTCTATCGTCCTATTCCTCATTCCTAAACTGCGTGTTGACCTTTGTAGTACCGCCTCCAGGCTGTATGCTTTAACCTTTCCAGTGAGATAGAGGGGGGGCCCTGAACTGGGAATACAAGATAAATCACAACTGCTGTCTGTTAATGCGACAGACAACAACACACACCGGCATGCAGGGACTGCTGAAACCTTTGTCCTTTCTCTCAAAACCCTTCTCATCCCAAAAAGACACTCCCGCATACACACACACACACACACACACACACACAGATGGTTTTGCCTCCATAAAGATGTCATCAGCATCAGTGCACTAGGCTATTATATCTACAAGTACACCCTGAATTATTCATCCTTCATTAAAATGCACTATGAGTAATGATAGCCAGGAGTGTGTTTTTGGGTATTCTTTTGTTTGAGTAAAACACAGAGGTCATTAGAAGTCATTTCTGGTCAATTTTGTATGATCAACCATGCTCCAGAGAAAGACAGAAAAAAAAAATCCCATTTACTTTCTGTGCATTGGGAATTCATGTTGAAAGAGATCAAAGGGGACAGACAAAGAGATGAGAGAATCGACATCTTCTCGTCTCCATTTGGCTCCCTATGAGAGGAGGAAAATTACTTTAAAGCTGCTGCCTTGATGAAAGAAAAAGGCGTTATGGCTGATGTATTCCTCCAGAGGTGGAATCAACAGTATGAATGACTCAAAGGCAGAGAGGAGGGGGGTTAAAAGAGAACATTTGTATGAGAGAACAATTTTTTGCTGAGGAACGGGAGTGCTATTTGACAGCAGTGAAGAAAGCAGCCATTCCCCTGTCAGAAGATGTGACTGGTTCAACACTGTTATTTCCGGTGCGTGCATATAAAAAAAAAACGCAGCAGATGTCATTAGATACTGAGCCCATTTGCAATATCAGTCTGGGATATCAGACTGAGCCCCAGCAAGATGTCTATCTCAACATGCGATTTGGTTTCATGTTCAGCCGCAACTTGTTTTTCTCAGGACAGGTATAGAATAGGTCATGAAATTGAAATAGCCTCCAAACGTCCCATTAGTTTTTCTCACCTATACTCTAAGAGACGACCAGAACTGTCATGTTTCTGACAGAGCTGTCAAAGCATCGAACCTACCATCCTAGTTACACATAAAGCAAATAGAAATGAAAACATTGTCAGTGAAAAGACTCATGGGGTAACGGAGACGCCAGGAGCAGGGTGAATCACTTAGCAAGCTGTGCTCCTCCATTCTGCAGCTGCCACCCACCACAACACATCTGCCAGTGGGAGAAAAAAAAAACACACTCAGATAGAAAACCACATCCAAACAAATTGCTACATGACACAAAAGATCACTTCTTCAAATTGAAATTCATTTGCAGTCGAAACGGGGGTTGGTCCCCCTGGGCACACGTGTATGACTGTAGAAACCCACATACAGGTGGCAAATGGTGGAGCTACAAAGACACACAAAATCTACACGTTGTTCCAGTAAGACCATTAGATTTCTTCATGTGGGGCCAATGGTTCTTTCAATACGCCCCCCTGTGCTATCTCTAGGCAGACACATGCCACTGCTGGGCAGGATCCTAATGCGTACCAAATCATCACTTTTCAACCAACAACGTCTGCCCGGCTCAGCCAGTTACTGCAATTCCCCTTTATTGCATTTCCCCAGGATTTTATATTATATATGCCGAACTCCACAGAAAGGAGTCAAAGCTCATTTCTAGACCTGAAAGGGCTACAGAAGGGGAACCGTCTACCACATGCTGAATATTGCACCAAAACTGTTACTGGCTTTGTTGATATGAGCCACATGGTAACAAATCATTAAATTATTTACACAGACTGTGCCATGAATCAGTGATTTGCTTTAGGGAAAATGTTGAATATTGACTTTTTGCCTCTTTGTTGGAAAGCAACAAGTGCTGTTGTAGCCGGCACATTAATTTGCTTTTATGTGAAATACAAGGACTCTAGCAACAAATGATGTTATTGTGTACCTATTAAACCTTTTTAGTCTAAGATGATTAAAAGTTCAAATGAAATTCTTAGACTAGTGACATTTCCAAGCATTTTTCTGTATGAGCTGAATGTTCACACTTAACTGCAGCCTGAAGTTGTTCTAGGTGTGGCGTATAAGTAAAGTTATTCTGTATGTAAGAGGGGAGCATTATTCATAAAATCAATTAATCAAGCAAATTAAATAGATGACAAATCAAGGTACTTATAATAAAATCAAATTTTGCCATAAAGCAATCCTGCTCATTTGTTTGTATTGCTTTATACAGTGGTGTAATACACCAAGACATATTAAGGGAATAAATACCACAGTATGAACTGTATGGCAAAAGCTCTGATGGTAGACACATAACATCTCATGGTATGTGGCGGTTTTATTACCCAGCCCTACCGCATGTAATGACTGTACATGTACTGCTACTTGTTTAAAAGAAAAGAGAAAAAAAAATCAAAGTCGTCTTACAGTACATGATTCTTAATCTGGGATCCTGAATTATTAAAACCACTGGGAAATGAGGAGCAGAATACATTTCCTCCTTCACAAAACCTTCCTTGGCAGGTACTATTAGCCTATAATATCTGTATGACAAACCAAAGTCACATTCAGAAAGCAATTTTCTGTCCACAACGCAATCTTGGCCATTAATTGCCTAATGAACAAGATGTTATCCAAGGATACCTTTCCAATGACCACTTAGGTAAAGGAGGAAGAGGACTTAATATGATGGAAATAAGTGTGACAGACTAAACGGTCCCTGCTGAACGCACTGACGCATACGCTGACCTTCCCTGTCAATCTGGAGGGCAGACAGGGCGGCCATTTATGTTGTGGCGGCCGAGCGGCCGAGCTGCAGAAACGGTTTTCATCATTACACCCAGAAATCCAGAGCTGTCTAACTGCCCGCCGCCTGTGGGAGGGAAATAACAATAAACAATGAAAAATCTGAGAGTCAGAAGGCGTGGAACATTCTCGGGCCCTTCTGTCAGGCTAGACAGTCTCCCGTGTATCATTGTGAATTCTACTAACGGTCATCTGGATTTCTGTGATCTCAGAGGGGTGATTTTAGAAACTCTGTAGTCAGAGAAAGTGATACGCAGTCCGGCACACAGCCAGGTGAATAGAGGGACCAGTGAGCCGGTCAGAAAAATAGCTGCTCAACATGCTTACAATCTTGATTTGATTAACAATTTAGCAATTACCTAATGCATTCCTTTGTATAATACAAATCACGTCTTTGGGCACTTAATCAATTAGAAGCGCCTGACATTTCAGAATATTGCAAGACATAATGCTCATCATTATGCATCATAGCATCAGTTGATGCACTCTAAAATGAGTTACCAAAACACACCCTTCTTCTGTTCAATTGTTACCCAAGAATATGAAAGAGTTGTGTAAATAATGTAAGGCAGAAGTACAATTATGACATTTTTAATGACATTATTTGTAAAACCTTGCATCAATGTCAAATTCCATGAGCTCATATTTGTTTTCGACAGGACAGCCAAGCCTTTGGAGTCGCTTCTAATAAATGTTTCCAGGTATTCAATCACTTCAACTCACACCACTAGATTTAGCTGCGTAAAATGACAAGCAACACTGGTAGAACGCCAATGAGTTTCAGGATAATGTCTTCCCTGTCAACTTTCATAATGTGTAAATGTGGATGTTTTAAATAAGTCATTAACTATATCCACTCATGTACAGCAGAGATATCATCACTAGCGTTGACCCATGTGTTGTGGGTGTTTGTTTTTTGTCTCTGAAATCCCTGGAATAACAATTCAAATGACTAACTCAGATAGTTTAGCAAAACAGGGGCAGTGAAGAAGAAACCTACCAAGTATGCTTGTCATTTCACAACATGGAACAGAGTCAACAAACAAGAAGTGTCGTGGGGCCAAATGTGATTGTGTCACTTTGTGAAGAGAAAACACATCTGGAGACAATTAGCGGATAAATGATCTGCTCCGTCCGCTTGACGCAACATGAGTGGAGCAACACCTGGCACAGGAGCAAAGGTGAGACATACACACACGTATGTGAGAACTCAAATGTCCCATCAGTTGGACCAGATATTAAACAGACTTTACACAGCCAGCTCTCTAGTACAAAGTCCATGAAATGTCCGAAAGGCCAACTCAGGACATTATCTGGAGATCATACAAGAAAACAGCTATACTGTAAGTGCTTCAAAGTTGCTGATTATTCCCGCGTCAGATGTACTGCAGCTGCACTCTTACATACATTCACAAGTCGCCCAAAATTCATTCCTGACCTTGGAAGCAGCAGCAGTCTCTGCACAGTCTCACTTAGTTGTTCTGGAGCTTTTGATCATACCACATGATCTTCCTGAGCAGATAGAATTGACCAGTTGGAATGGTAGTTGTTACATTTTTCCGGAGCACTTTAAGGAGTTCTCATACATGTCGGCTTAAAAGTTGACAATGACAAGTTGACACTGCAACTGGGCATATTTAATTTGCTGACAAAGATTATGTGATACGATCAAAAGCACCAGAACAGCTACTAAACTGACCTTGTGTTGAGATTGTTTTCTTCACTTCAATTATAAATTTTAACTGCCTGTCCACAATGCAAAGATCTACATTTTTTTGTCTACTATAAAGTTTTCAAAGGGTTATTTTTGTAAAAACAGAAGTGATCAGTGCTATGAACACTTTTAGGACTTGATATTAGTGTTTTTGTTTTGTTTTTGCAGTCTACTAGGGCTAAATGTAGTCTGGAAACAGCATTGCAGCCTGGCAACTACAGTTATGTTTATCTTTAACACAAGCAACAAGCAATTTGCATGTTTTACTATGTCTTTCATGGTGACTCATCATAGCTACCGATAGTTAATCACACTTGTTGTCAGTAGCACTTTGTTGACAGAAGCGGAGTTCCAATTTCTAGAATGAGTCAGCACGTTTCCTACTCTAGGAACCAGTTTTTTTTTTTATTGTTCGTACCGACCAAAAACCACCACATTGTCCCCAGACAGTATTTACAGCTGGCCCCACGATACTGACAGACAAAAGACTGAATCTCTGATTGATGAGAGAAATGAACCCTACACAGCAGAGTTTGAAGCCCCATAGTTGACAGAGTTTGTGGGCTGAGTTGGTATCTGCTACATATTTTGTCCACAGGAGGGGCTACCATGATACAAAGTACTACAAAACTTCTTGTTCTTGTACAAAAACAAACATTTTTGTAGAAATCCTGCATTTTAAACAACTGATACAGAGTGAAAACTGCAACCGCATGTAAGGACAGACATGAATAAGGACTTTGACAGTATACATTGCTTGCAGAGGCTTTGAACATAATAGGCATGGTAGAAAGTTCTTTACAATGGCAGAACTTTGGCACAAGAAAGGCATTACAGAAGAAAACGATGAGTATTTGACAAGGTCAGCATAGATGATCCCAAACTACATATCACTTTTATACATCAGTTCATAGTAAACCATTTGGCACTGACTACCGTTCCCTTTGTTGGTGTGAGATTAGTGTTTGTTCAAATCATTTGAAAGAAACTCAAGCCACTGAAGGGAGGGATCGATGGGGTCACACACACATGGAGGTAAGACAAAAGGGCATTGACATCAACAGAAAAACTACATCTGGTGTTACTGTCACAATAGTGTTTTCCCTTCTGCACAGGTGTCAGATGAGAGAGTGTGTGTGTGTGTGTGTGTGTGTGTGTGTGTGTGTGTGTGTGTGTGTGCGCGCCTATATGTTTTATGTGTACGTGTATGTGTGTGTGTGTGTGTGTGATGTGTTAGACCACTTCTAGGGGACCAGACTTATGTTTTGTCCCAAACCTGCTTGGATCCTCTTTCAATTTACACACTTTTGAGTCCTTTTTTTCCAGCTCCCTTCAAAAAGTGAACGTCACAGTGAGGTGACACTGCTCAGGTATCTATATTTCCACAGGAAACATCTGTCTACATAAGCAAGTGGGTTCAAAAGAATCCTGTTTTGACTGCTAACCTCAGTCTGTGGTTAAGTCAGCATTAATCTGACCCCCCGTAGCCCCTCCTTGGTTTTAATTGAGGGGCGTGTTTGGGGGTATGCCCAGCGTTCATGCCATGGTTTCCTTTCCTGGGAGTCTCCTGTCGTTGAACGTGTGCATGTTAATGACCTCCTCTGTCTTTACGATGACGGGCGGCTGAGGCTTCTGTTTGAGACGGCGTTGGCACTTCAGAGACACACGCAGCTCGTCCATCATGGCACTGCAGAATGAACGCTGCAGAAGGCAACAGGAAAGAGGGAAAAGTTACAGCTGGCACCATGCTGTTTGCCACGCTACTCAAAACTATGCTAACTAAACTTTACTGTGTAAAATACAACAATCAGCCAAGATTGGCTTCTTTGAAAATACTGAATATTGGCTAGACATGATGATCATTGCCATTTTAATGTATAGCTTATTAAGGAATATGGTGTGTTTTAATCTAAATCTTTTTTTTATTCCTAAACACTTCTTTATTTAAAGGTCTGATGTGTCCCAGATTTTCCCCTTTTCAGCTTTACTGTCACACAAAGGTCTAAATGCGTTTTCAGAGCATTTTATACCCTGCCAAGAACTAAGAGAAACATTTGTAACGTTGCCTTGCAAACAGAAAATGAAAAAGGTATTGAATAAAGGACAAATATCCACTTCAGCAGATTAAATCCAAAAATATTGGTACCTTCTTTCAAAACATCAATCACCCTCTTGCAGAGTGACACGTGTTATGTAACCTCTGTAATATGAGCTTCTGTTGTCCCTGCATTATGTATGTGGCGTGAAATCCTATAAAATGTCAATATGCTTGTGCACCAACGTTGCCAAGAGAAATTCCCATACATTCACTTTCTGATTATGCAAAATCTAATTCAAATTCTTAGAGGGTGTAGGAGGAGAGAAGATATAAAAGAGGTGGGAGAGCAGTAAAGTATGAAGCTATTATTTTTTTGTTTGTGTGTGAGCGTAGGCGTGTGAGATGGATATCTGTAGGTAGCTTATGCACCAGGTATTTTAGTTTTTTCTTCATATTTACATATATGTGTCTGGTGTATGAATGAGATATTTTGTATACTCGGGAAGATGAGTGATTACAGAAATAGAGAAGGGCAGGAAAGGGTGAGAGAAAGAAATAGTGGAAAACAATGAGGAACGATGTGGATTAGAGTGATGGAGAAAAGGAGAATGGGGGTAAAAAAAAAAGCTGGTGATGTTAGGGTGACAGAGGTTGGCAGGGGAAGAAAATAGAGAAGGAGAGGGTTGTTGTCAGCATGTAAATTACTAGCACCTTGGCAGCCTCGAGACTATGGCATTTGCAAATTATCTGAATATTGTGACCCAGTCTTGCGGCTCTTGATTAATGATAGCTAAGATGTGCTCTGAAACATATGCAGACTGTAAAAAAAAGCCAGAAACTAATTACTATTGCAATAAAGTAACACGCTGCTGTGCTGTGCTAATTCTGTAGATGTAAATAATTAAAACACGCTATCAAATGGACTTTCACAATTATCTGAAACATCCTTGTACAAGTTAAAGTGCACTAAAATACATACTCCACACTGTGTGATGAATCATGTACACTCAGTTCTAAAATAGAGCACAGATAGAACAGTCTGAAATATATTCAGTCTCTTGCTAGAAAGAAACATAACCTGAGGGTGGAGAAAAAAGCTGCAAACATGCTGCAATGTATGCGTCTCGAGATTAAAGGATAAGTTCACATTTTTTTCAAGTCTGTCTTAAAACAATACTCACTGGTCCATATGTACACTGAAAGAGTTTTTGGTTGCTGTAATCATTCCTCTCTTCCATGCTGGCTGCGAGAGATCCCATCCTGATGTGATTTCAAATTAAGACATGACCAATGACTCACATATATATGAGGACGCAAGTATTGTTTTAAAACAGACTTGAAAAAATGTGAACTCATCCCCGACTAATTTCTAATCCTGCAAAAAAGAACAAACACGCTAAAACACACTACACTTATCCAACACAGTATATATGTTGCATTGTATTTGATAGTTAGTTTGTTTTAATTTCTCACATTTAGGGATGAGTAATGAATCAAATGCATAGCGAAAGGGCTGAATTCTTTAAAAGCATCACAAAAGACTCCAGTACCTTCTCAAGCTGGGCGTTCTGTTTAGACTTATAAATGACCTCCCCTACAGCGACAAACACTGACAGCACCAGTCCTGCAGCCAGCACGATGAAGATCCCACCGATGTTCTGCACTCCCAGAGCGCTGGCCTCTTTGCTTTCCTCCTCGGGACAGCCGTTCCCTCTCCACCACTTCTCCTTCATCATGTGGAGCTTCCCTTCCTCCTGCAGCTGCAGAATGGCTATTGTGATCTTGTCTCTGTACGGAGAGCCTGCAAGAATAAAAACACAACATGAAACTAGTGAAAATGGATAATAGCCAGATCTGAAAAGATTATGCCTAGCAAGGTCATTGTTGAATGGGTATATATAAATGATGGTGGGTGTATGAAACACACTCTGGCTTGCATGTGATCATATAACCTGTCATGTTATTGTTGGCTGCTTAGAGGGAGTTTTTGTAAGTCCTTCTTCAAATCCCACTAATCCCTATATTCACAGAGTGATTCCAAAATTCTCACTCCTCTCTGCAGTGTGTGAATTATAATGCACAGGGAGTTGGCAACAAAGACTTGGCTCTGTGGAGCAGAGCTGCTGTTGATTTTGACGAATTAGCTGCTGTTTGCGCACGCTTTCATATGCCATAAATGGTGCGTATAAACAGGAAAAACAAGAGAAGCCCAGTGGGGTGTACATTACATGGGTGCATATGTGTTTGGGATTACATGTGTGTATCTGAGATAGGGTTGCTCTATCAGTGTGTTTTTAAGCATTTTAATGTCATGATGAGTAAAAGAACCCAAATCCACAGACAGTGGGAAGGCGCCAGAATTAGCGAGAAGGCATTAAGGCGCAGCGGGTGCTGGCGTGATCAAAGGAGGAGTAATCGTTGCAGAGTACCCGAGTGGGGTCGTGTTCCTCTCCCATCCACAGCGTGTGTGACACAACACACAGCCGTTTGAGGCACAGCGCGCACACTCTGCCCCGACCAGGCCAAGAAAGATTAATAGTTACTGTGAGCGTTCATGTTTCATTTATAAACTGCTTTAAAATCTTGTTAGTGCATTTATGTGATTTTAGAAAGCATACAAATGTACGCCTGGTTGTGCATTTCCATTTCAGACTCATATGCTTATTCAGAGTGACTTTAAAGAGGTGAAACAGTAGTAAAATGTAAAGTTTTTATAATGCCGACAAAAGCATTTTAGAAACACACCGGGAACATTTTGTGTTAAAACTCAGTATGGCCCCAGGTAGTAGGTAGCATCACTGTTGCTTACATACAGTTTTGGCTGTCAGCCCCTTTAGTTGATTCCCTCTCCGTCTCATCTATCATTTATCTATTGCCATCCATCATCCTTTCATCTCTGTGTCTCTATGTATTTAGACTGACAAAGGGGACATTAATAAAAAAAAAAGGAAAATTACACAAAGTGCCACTGATTTTTGAACAGCAGATCACTGTTTCACTGCTTCTTTGATCATAAATAGTCTGGTATTTTTGTGAGTGTACCTGTGGTGTGCCTGCGAGTACATTGCTTTCTTTGTGACATGCAACGAAGTACATAAGTGCATCCATTCATTCTGTGCATGTACAGTAGATATGTACTGCCCCGAATCATTGTGTATATGCATGTGCACGTGCATGAGAAAAGCATATGCTTGCTTTATTTGAAGATGAGAGATCTATCAAGTATCTGAGTCCCCTGATTCTCGCTCCGCTCATATTTCAAATGATTAATGATGGCCTAACAAAGCAGGCCTTGGATAAATGCTAATAGGATGGGTCCTTAGAGAGGAGGATATGGAGAGCGGGGCCCGGGCGAATGGAAAAGCGCTGTGCTTGACACACTGTGCATACACAACTATCTGACAGATGTTCAACACCAGAGGACATCCATCACTCCCATACTGTCTGGCTTCAAGAATTAATGTGATCACAGTTTAAGTCGATAGCTTTATATGACGCATTTCCGTTTTGGGAACAGGACGCGTGAAAACCGACAAGCTCTAAGAGGTTAAGAGTTATTATACGGCTTGCTCTGGTTTATTGCTGTAACAGCCCTACAGGGAATGAGCTGCTAAACAGTGTTGAGCAGGGCAAAAGTTATAGGCAAGAGGTTGAGATGAAGGCTGAGGTCTTCATCAGTGGTGAAAGTATTCAGAGCCTTTACTTAAATAAAAATACTAATGCCACACTGCAAAAATAAGTATAGGATAATCAGGAAAATGTACATTAAGTATTAAAAGTAAAAGTACTAAATGCAGAAAAATGGCCCCTTTGACTGTTATATTATTATATAGTATATCATTAGATTAGTATTACTCAGGCATCAGCGTGTAAGCAATATTTTAGATGGTATATCTATTTCATACAGGAACTAATGATTATTTTAGTAATGGGCTAATTAATTATTTTTGATTGATTGTTTGGTTTGTAAGAATTCAGAAAATTACAATTACATGAGCCCAAAGTTAAATATTCACAATGCTTTTTTAGTCCAACCAATCGTCCAAAAAGAATTTAATTAATTTAAGTTACATAATTAAAATCATGAAATGAATGAATGAATTACTTAAATGATCAAAACAGTTGCACTTTGTATGTTTCCCTCTGAATATCAGCAGAGAAGAATTATAAGGTAGCATTAGATTGAAATACTCAAGTACCTCAAATCTTTACTTAAGTACACTACTTGAGTAAATCTACTTAGTTACATTTTAACACTGTTCCGTGTGCCACCCTCTGAAAAAATTTCATATCCCAATTCTTCCAAGAGTAACCCTGGCATGAAAACAGCAATCAGCAATTAACAAGACCTCTTCTATCTCAGAAGAAAAATTTTAGAGGCTGCAATCAGCATTATTTCTGAAATACTGAGCAATGAACATCAGGATTAGAGGTGAGTTAGTGGGAAGTAATAACTTTGAAAGCGGACATTTTTTATCATTATTTTTTATGCATTAAAATACTAAATCACTTATCGCTGAATTAAAGTGATTTGGCATATATTTTGTAGTCGTATATTTGATACACTATATTACCAAATGAATGAAAATAGAACCCACACTCAGGTCTGTGTGTCTATCTCAAGGGCATCAGTGTAAGTACTTCAGCACTTATGGAGCCACAGTGGGACTATATTTCACAGCATCACCTCAGCTTTGTTACAGCCACAGCAATCATGGCATCCCTGTAGATCCATAACTGCCCCATACTCATCAGCCGTAGCCGGGTCCAGATGTGGATGGCCAGAATGAATCCTCCATATTTTGATGGCCTTCATATCACTGATGATAAATGTGGCTATTACAGCTGGTTGCAGTGCTCTCCGTAGCCTCGTCATGACCACTCTAACCTCCTTGACACTGGGACTGACTGGAACCATCACCAGCTTTCTGCTAGGGTCCCCTGGATTGCCAGGGTTGCCAGCTGCTTGCTTGACAAAGACTGCTTTATATGCAACAAAACTGTTATTATAAAACAGGTGAAGTGGAAAGTTTCAAATGTATGACATAAAGTGCTAAAAGTAAACAGTGCTTTTGATTGTTTGAGCTCCTCTGCCTCCTCATGGGATAATAGCGCTTTAAAATGTCAGAATACATGTTTTTGAGAGGAGCTGGGTCAAATAGGAAGTGGAAAAAAGGTCTTAGTGCTCTCTTTAAACTCTTTGAAGTGCTTTGTTCTTGTGGTTTAATGCTCAGATCTGATTCAGACAGTGTCAAGTGAGTCACAGGAAAATTGCTCTAAATTGACTTTCAGGTTGCTTTCTGTGATTGTTTCACTGTCTTGCACTCGCAATCTTGCCTCATGTGGCTCCAACGTAGGCTAAAACACACCATTAAAAGTATTTCTGAACGTTGTTTAACCCAGGTTTGCTTCTCCACTCTGTAAATAATCCTGTGAGAAAATCATTATGGCCTGAAAAAACCCACACTTGGTAAGTCAGAGCTCGAATGGAGCATGTTTCTTGAGCCCCGGGCACTTTTTAACCTTATCCATAAATTCAACCATTCGCTTTTCATTAAGCTAAACCTTTTACACCTTACGCTGTTGAAGCATTATACCCGCAACCCCATCAATAAAGGTCAACCTTTCCGTTCTCAGAGCTTATCCATCATTCACACTATATAACTTTATCTGTCACATGGTATCTGCCGCATCTCTCTGACCTTGAGCTTTTCAAACGATTTTTCATAACACAGCAGGCAGCACAGAAGCATATATAAGTTTGAGGTCATTTACCCATAGGTGTTCCCACTCCGTAGGCTTTGGAGTCTATGAGGCCTCCGATCTGCGTGAGGTTACAGTTGCGCTGGGTGACAAACTCGATGGTGGTTGACTCCATGAGGAAGGCATAGTCCGAGGTCAAGACGCGCTCGATGCCCTCCTCCACGTTCTTGACCATCACAGATTGCCTTCTGCTGTTCATGAACTCCCACATCTTGTCATATGTGGAGATTTTTGTTTTCTACAAAATAAAAGAGGAAAGAAGTGGAATGAGATTGGCAGCTGCATTAGAAATAAATACTATGGTCAACTCTAAAATCTGATAAATTCTTCTGTTTCAGTGTGTAACTTTTCATTGTGCAGTCTATTTTTGTAAAGGACCAGTGTGTCTTCTTTAGGGACATTTAGCAGTGAAGTTGCAGACTGCGACCAACTGACACAACTACAAAATAACTAATAAAAACACATGTATGACTATTATATTCCATTTCTGCCAATAGAGCCTTCTAATTGTTACACACCGGACCTTTAATGTCATTATAATACTGTTACCAAACTTATTTGAGAAACAAAACAAAGAAACACCTGTGTACACTGATATTAATTAAGAAATCCTTTTGAGATTTTCATGAAAACAAACCTGTTTTAGATACTAATTATGGTCTGCACTGTCTGATTGTGTAAATACTGATTCCCCTGCTGAATTCAAATTCCCCTTTGCATTAAGGATTCCTCAGGATATGATGCATGCATACAATCCCACAATGTTTTTATCTCATCGATAACAGCCTCACTGTTTACTGTTCACTTTCCTGACACTGTATCAGAGCTGTATTGAGTTACTGCTAATGCAAACTGAACACTTCCTACCAGTTCACATTAAGTGTTCGATTGGCGAAACATGCGCGTGGCTTTAATAGTGAAGAAGTCACAAGTAAATGCGACGTATTTGTCACCAAGGTCAGCGCTAACTGTGATCGTTCATCAAAGATGCATCTACAAAACAGTACACGGTCATTTTCTGAATTCTTTGACAGCGGATCGTTTTTAAATATTTCAGTGAGTAATGGAACAATAAAGAGCAGCCAAGGTGAGCTGTTAAATGAAGAGCTGCTGAGGACAGGCTGCATACCTCCAACTCCTCAGCAAGGTAACCAACTCCTTGACTGTGCCCTGCTGTTGGTTGGAAAACTACTTGCACCGTGCCCAGCATGAAAATCACAGTTGCAATTATTATTGACTGACTTCATCATTAAAACAATAGTTTGTTTGGCTGCACAGTAAACAGAAACACCAGTTGCTCTTGTGTTTATGACAAAGTAGTAGGAATAGTAAGTATTAAACAACATTGTTACCACCAGCAACCATGGGTTTCGCTAATACAACAAAGGGATGAAATATGGATTGTATCTTTAATTAGTGAGAAAGGAAGGTTCCTCATAAAACCACCAATAAACAACACCCTGGCAGATCCAGCTACCTTGAAGAAGGTCATGGTGGCGCCATCCTCCACCACCCCGTACAGGATTTTAGTCTGCTTGGCCAGGTCATCGGCAGAGTCTATGGGCGACTCCATCCTTTCCACAGTGAGGAAGGCAGCCAAGTTGGCTGTGTATGAGGAAATGATGATGAGGGTGAAGAACCACCAGATGCCTCCCACTATTCGAGTTGACAGGGCCTTGGGCATGAGCTCTGAGCCTGGTGTGAGGGAGGTGGCAGGAATGAAAATGTATTCATCTCAGCAAGTCCTCTTTACGATTCTAATCTTGTATTTGGTTGCAAAGTTTATATTTAACATGTAAAAAAACAAGACAAGATTAGTTCCTTTAAAAACAGTCACTCTCTTCAAGATTTCAGCTCAGGCAGATGCTGCACTTGCTTCAAGAAGAAATCACTTGAGAGAGCTCTCAAAACAAGATGATTGGCAGATTTCAAACAAGTGAAATTATCTTGTCTCAGTCATAAATGAGAGCTTTAAATAATGCAGGAGACTCAGACTATTTGAAAGGTCTCCTGAGAGCAATTTTTTTTTGCATAAATCAATCATATCTAATCAAACACATTCAATATTGATTGTTCAGAACAGTGTTAAGAAGTGACGGGCTGTTTGGGCCAGAGAGTCATGTACCCAAGGTAACCTCACATCCTGACTCGACACCCCACTGATCTCTAGGTGCTGATGGGCCAAGGGCAAGAGGAGAGGACACTGGGTATTATTGTACTCTCATTACTATGATAAAGAGCATATTAAATAGACTGTATATTATTTGAATGCAGCTAGGTAGTCAGGCTATTTGAGCTGCTGTTGATAAAAACATCAATATACATTTCTTCAAATTTGAATTTCTAATTCAGATAATTAGATTTCGCTCATGTGGTATATAAGGGCTGTTCAAATATACTCCTCTCATGTACTCATAGGTTTGATCTACATTCCTATGAGTAGGCTAAGTTAATGAAAAAAACAATAAAACATTACATGCACATTTACATTACACAAATTTTCTCTTCCTAGCTGGGGAACCCTTAGAGGCCTCTCTCTGTTGCCGCTGGCTTGGATGAAACAACCCAACCCTCAGAGACAGTGGGATATAGAGAGCTTCAGCTCCACAGAGCAACAGCAGCCACAGGCTGAGGCATCTACCTTGCTGCATGAGAGCCCCAACTCCAAACCAGAAACTATTGAGCAGCGTAAAATTGTTTTCCACTACATCCGAGTCTGGGTTGCATGGATGCGGGTTGTACCACTCATAAGGGCTAAACCTATAAAAGGAGAGAGCACAGAGAAAGAGATGTCAGCACAAAGCAAAGAACACTGTGTACCCTAACACAGATTAAACGGCACATAAAACATACATTTCAAAATATTGTGAGCAGGAACAAAGGGAATGTGAATGTGTAGGAATCCTGTGTCGTGGCCTCAGGGTTAGAGCTTGTGCAGAGACCAAAGCAAATCATTCTGACTTTTGCCGAGATCAACTTATTGGCATATTCAAATGCCATCAGTTTATTGTGAGAACAGATCAATAGGCTGGAATAACACTGTCACTGGTGATAATGTCCCAGAGCGTGATGATCTTTGGAGCTCATTTGGATTCACTGACTCGGGAGCCTTTATGTGATTCCCCCGGCAACTGCAATCACAGTTACTCTGCTGATGCCACATCCTCCTCACACCCCCAACATGGGACTGTTTTTTTTTTCTTCCTTCTTTTTTCTTATGTTTTCCCAACAGTCATTTCTGTTCTTCCACTCAGAAACCCCTTTTCTTTTCTCACACTCCCTTCACACCTTCATCTCTTTTCTCCATTCCCACTCCAACAACCTACACCTCATTTTTCCCCCTGATTGCCTTACTTCCCCTATGAACCTCCGCCTTTCACCTCCTGCTGCCTCCCTCAGCTGATTGTCAGTGTCTTCAGGTCAGTTGTGGACATTTCTCATTTATTATCCTAAGCAAAAGTGGCATGGCATTAGCGCAGGGTGATTGGGTTAGCGTTAAGCATCAGGATCTGATTGAGTTTGTGCTGAAGTGGGTGATAGAGAGAACATTGCTTATGCAGAGTTGAGGGGCCCATCAGGTAAGGTGGTTTAGGAGCTTTTCCCCAACATGCTGCATGCTAATAAGCCTGCGGGCCGAGTCTTAAAGGTTTAGACTGCATAGAAATGGGATGCAATTTGTCAGCTATGCTCAGAGGCGCTCAAGTATGTATACACATATATATATATATATATATATATATATATACACATACACCGTGTTTACAAGACACAGAGCCGCATTTCACATTACCACACTAAATGTTATATGACGGCTGTTTTATGGCAGCACTATTTGCCACAGATACTACATGACTGTTGAAGATCCTACGCACAGATATGTCATTGATCTTTCTTTGTTGTTGTAGCAACCCAATTAACAGTCTTATTTTACAAGCATCGTGAATGTGGCAACATTTTTGTCATATGCCGTCCCCCTTGAGATTCATCAACATGGACGTGGTTGTGATGACACATTATAATTCTTCCTGTCAACCACATCAGGATGCCTGATTTGCTGGAATGTCAATGAGCTTAGTCTCCTTGAAACCACAGGCAACTGAAACGGCACAATGGCCTTGTGGAGCTGTGCGGAATGCAGTGTGTGTGCTCGCATGCGTTTGTATATGTGAGTGGTTTTTATGATGTGTGTATCAAGCCTCTGGCGCATGAATGTTTGCAGATATGTCTCTATAGCTGTGTGGGTGTGCATTTGCAGATGATAGCAACTGTGCATTGGCTCAATCAAATCCATCTCAAAGTCAAATATTTTCTGCGAGGATTTATTTATGTTGCTGCTAGATGTTAACTATAATCTTGAGCTGCAGCCTGAGGCCAATTATGGGTGATATCCAATATGTTTTGTAGGGCAGATAGTGTAAATCTGTGTAAATCTATACAACAGACAAACACTGATTGGATTGTGTTTGTCCCCCTCAGTGCACTACATGTGTCTTCTGTATGCACCAGGCCCGATAGCTCCTCTTTATGACCTTTGCCTGCAGTCGGCCCGTATTCCTGCGGGCCGTGTTCTGCACACCGATCACCAGGAAGAAGGCAATGTGGAACATGCGGACGTAAGGTCACCTCCTCACACCGAGCATGAGGGACATGTCGAATTGCACACAGAATTCTAAAAAGATTTTCCCCTCTCTCTCTCTCTCTCTCTCTCTCTCTCTCTCTCTCTCCTGTTCCTCTTCTCCTTCGCGCGTCCCCAGTCACAATAACACAACACGCTCCCTCCATTAACTGTCTGTTGGATTCAATTACTCTGGCTGGCATTATAGATCTGCTGCCTTTCTTCTCTCAGGCCAAGTGAAGAGGCTGTGTTGGGGGTGTTAAAATCATAGGCATCCTGGACTTGGACTGCAAAACTGCACAGGCCTGTAATTACATGTAAACATGTTATAATACAATTTAAATAATCCATTCTTCTTGGCAGGAGGACATTTTCTACATCGGAAAAGGCTTTGTGATCTGAGAGAATACCATTTGTTCTGTTAATAAAGAAAGGAATCAATTCAACCAGAAACAGAGCTAGAAGGAACCACTGCAAGTGAAATGTATTTCTCTGGAGCTTGAAATGAGATAGCTTATTTAGTCAGAAAAAAAGTGTTTATTTGTGTGGGAAGCAGTTCAAAGACGTGAATCCCTGGTGAGATTGAGGTGTTTAGTGTTTTATTGTGCAAAACGAGGACTTCATAAGCCCCCTCCATTCACTCTATTTGCAGGGGATTAAAGAAAATAATATCCCCTGCATTTGGGGAATTGACCAATCAATCAGTGGCCGTGCAATCAATACTACAATTATGAGAGAACCAGCTCAGCGAACTGTAGAAAACACTGTACTTCAGATTTAAACTTTGCTGAATATTTTTGGTCACATAGTGTGAGGACAAGCACTATTTATTGCCAAGGTGTGCAAAAAGGCACAATGCATGCACACAGACAAGAACATTATAATTTAATAAAAGTATTGAGGCCATTTCATTATAAAGCAGAAGAATATCAATATAATTGCATGCTAATCACTTACCCTGACCAAGCGTGGAAACAAAAGGGCTATGGGTATAATTTGCATATTCTGAACTAACTTAGGTGACAGTTGCTGCTTTCCTCTCATGTGATCATTCTGCCGGTAACATTTGATGAAACGTGCATTAAACCCAAACCTCTCAGGATGAAAGCGGAAGAAGAGAAGCCCTGGGGTTAATACACATCTTTCTACATCGGTCATGCACTGAGGAGTTTTAGGGGGGTGGGTTCATAAAGATATGTGTAAGAATTGTACTTGTACATTTCTTACAGCTGATTAAGAGATATAAAACGGGTAGCTGGTTTTACAATTGCTGATGCTTGTGCAAATATGCCTGAAATAGTGTAACGAATCAGCATTTTAAAAGACCATACCAGTGTTTTTCCTGGTTTTGGCTCATTTACTGTAAGGTAGTAAAAACAGAGTAAACATTTAATTATTTTCATTACAATCAATGAATGACAATGAAGCTAAAACAACAATCTTTTTCTTTTCTGGGTGCTTCAAGATGTAATGGGAGGCCCTGAAATGTGTTCAATTAATTTGTTGTTTTGGCAGCCAACAGTTGACCACATCTTTTTAAAAATGGTATACACTTGTATTTTAGGGGAATGGAAATCCAACTCTGATAAAAAAAGAGTTTAAAAGCTGCAGTATGCATTGTAAAATGATCAACGGTAGGGTAAAGTATAAGCAAGTGTGTAAAAACACCGGTATCGTCTTTTAAAATAACATTTTTAGATTGGTTATTCTTTTATTGTACACCATATCTACATCACTGAAGTCATCTAAAAACATGGACTGCCTCTTGCAGGAGTGCTTTTTCTGCCTGTCACAGCTTGATGATTTTCAGTGAATGAATTCCCCTATTCAGGTCCAGAGGGAGCAACTGCTGTGTGTTAGTGAAAGCAGGCAAATAGGTAGGAAAGAAGGAAGGAAGGGGGAAGGGAGGAAGGAAGGAAGACAGGAAGGAAGGGAACGGAAGGGTTGACATGTTACCTGGCTATGACAAACAGCACACAACTGACACCCAAGCAAGCCAGCAGAATATACATCCAGATATCGGGCGAGAGGGGGTTAAGGAAGGAGAAGACCCCGGGGTTGGTGCCATTGGGCTTGCGGTACAGGATACTTATCCCCAGCGTCATATAGGGCTTTGAGAAGTCGATGACCTTCTCTCTGACGTAGGTGATGGCCAGAGGAGCCACCGCCAGGTCTGCTTTCTGCAATGAGATAATGAAGGTAGAGTGGAGTGAGATTGGTGGTTAGGTGTTCGAGTCCACCAATAAGAGACAACCAATCGAATTAACATCTGATTTCTGTCGACAGTTGGTCTGGTCAATATGTACAAGAGGAAGAGCCATGACAGAGGAGATAACATAGCTGGGGTTAGTTCAGCTAGATTAGCAGGTAGGAGGCTGAGTTTTTTTTGAAAATTACAGGTTATATTTCTGATCCTTCTTAGTGGTGTCAGAGGTGAGTCACTCAGACAACAATTTTGGGATTAGATTAATCTGTGACAAATAAACCCTGCGTCCCCTCAGAATGTAAGATTAGCCACCTTTGGTGCTAAGCCCTTGAGTTATTTTTTTTATAACCCCTCCAAGAAATAAGTTATGCCAGTTTTACAGTGAATTTTTTGTTCATAACTATTAATAGTGGTGGAAGGTAAAACATATAATTTCCTGTTTTGAATCTCAAATCATTACAGTCTATATTTGAGTCTTAAAATCCTTATCCATTATCATAAAGGGAGCCTAGCTTTGCTAAACAGCATCCAATGTGACCACAAGTGACAATTAAGGAATAATGTTGAATGCAAAAACTCAATAAGAGTAGCACAAGAAGAGAAGGGTAATAGTCAGCAACTTGAATCCGTAATGTCAATTAAACAGCAATATCTACCTAAAGTCAGAAAACATTAGCCACTATAATGGTCATACTGGAACAAGACTGTAGAATCCCTAGAGAATTTTTCATTTTTACAAAAAATGTACCACATGAGGGTTAAAAGATATGTAAACTGTATTCACGTTTAGCTGTTAGTATTTGGATCAACTATCATTTCATTGTTGGTTATTATAAAATATTAAATAAACTGAAGTTTTGCTTTTAAAGATTTAAAGTAATTTCTGCATTTTTTATTTTTTGCATCTCACAATATGCAAAAACTGGTTAACTCACATGGTCCATGAGCTCCCGCACCATCCCGTTCCACTGGCCTGTGCTCTCATCCAGTGCACCATACTTCCCATCCTCCACTAATCGCAGCTCATAGCGAAAGCCCAGGATGCCAGAAAGCTCCCTCAGCAGGTCGATGCAGTAGCCCTCGAAACGATCATTCCCATACAGAGGTTTGTCCGACTTCTTAAACATCACATATGGCTCCTCCTGTATAGGGGAAATGCATTTGTGTAGAAACGTGTCTGCAAGTTTTGTATTATACAGTGAGCCTTTTTTTCTGTGTGTATTTGTTGACTGTGTGCGTGTTTTCATTTGGCTGGGTCTACCAGTATGGTGGAAACACGTAGCGATTTGTTAGCCAGAGAGTCTGTGATGTTGGATGTCTTGCTTTTGTGAGTCTCTGTCATATTCAGACCGCTGGGAGGATCCCATGTTCCAATCTGTTGAAGCAATTCAGTGTCAAGTTTATATCACCTCAGCTTGTCTACAGATAGGAAAAATAATGCTTTAAAGCATCCAGACATACTTCTTCAAGATTCAGAAGCCACAAAACCTCAGCTACACTGTTTAACAGACCTTTTCTAGCCCCTCCTCCTTCAGACTGATGACGTCCAGGTCGAAATCGGTCCTCAGTCCATTGGTCTTATTGAAGAGAACACGTCCTGTCAATCCATCCCAGTGAGCCTACAGACAGAAGCCAGAGCCATAATAAACTAAAAATCCTCAGTTTAGCACAGTCATTCCATTAACCTTAAGGTATCGTCTTTCTCAACAATATGAGTCCAACCGCTAACCATAAAACCTTTTCTGTCCCAATTATATATTCTGTATGTCTCTCCCCTCACTGTCTATCTCAACAACATAACAAGAAACAATAAAGCAGCGAGAATAGAAGCAGGTTTGACAGGTAAGAGTTCATTATGCATGTGGTTCATTGTGCTTGAAGTTTCACTTCAAAGCCATTGGAGGAACAGACGGGCATGGAGAGCGATAGCAGACACAGGAGGGGGAGGAAGCGCCAGCGACTACAATGGCTCATTCTGAAAATTACCTGCAATGATACCATCCACAGAATGAAAGTGCTTTGTAGAACAAAGCAAATGGCTGACCCTGACTAGAGTTAAGGAGACACACAGAGGCTTTGATATAAACACGGGTGAAGATATGCACGGAGGAAAAAGTGGGAGAAAGGGAATGAAACATTACAAAATAACATGTAGTTACTGTGGATAATGCAGTGGTTATTTAGATTACAGTATCATGAAGATTACTGAGAGTGCTAAGATTAAGCAATAGAGTTGTTTAGGATGTTAATGTGGGTTGTATCATGATGATCACAAGAGAAAGACAATGATGCAAAATGTGCAGGTAAGTTAAGGAAGTACAAAGGAAATGCTTACAAACGTGTGATTGCACTGATCAATACCGTATGACATGCCCAGACTACAGTGTTCAGCAGATCCATAGGTCAGAGGTCAAGACAGGGTGCACACTGATAGCACTTATGGCCTTGTACCTCTTTGATGAGGCCGATGAAACGCCCCCCGAAGCGCCACGGCTTGTGGCGATTACACTGCAGAGAGCTGACGGTGATCTGCTGCGATTGCTGCACCGCCACCGCCACCACGTGCACGGCGTCGTACATCAGCGCTGCATCCGTCTGCAAGCAGGAAGGTAATATCATTAGACATTTTTATAACACCTGCCAATACATCTGTCCACATGACCTTTTAATCGGCCCATTTGTTCACCCGCTGAGGAACATAAGAAACTGTGTGAAGTCCCGGGTGACTTGCTTTACTCTTTAGTCAGGACAAGAGAACATAAATTAGGAGTAATGCCAGCAGTAAATGCCCTGCACAAATGGCACAGTGTCTCAGCCTGTTAGTAAAAATACCCGACCACTGTCTGAGGCAATGAGAAAGCTCCGCCAGGGAGAGTCTCTCAGTGGAAGGCCGGCCTGTCACTGTGAAGACTAATGGTTCCTGATGGGTGTGCCTGTTCTCTAGAAAGAGGGAACACAAAACAGGAGCCAGTGCAGATGGGACAACTCTGACTGCGTGCAACATGCTAAGGGATACATACTGCATTGCAAAGCACACATGACAGCCATCCATACAACCCCAGTAATAAGTCATCAAAGGGAGTAAATGCTTGAGCTGCAATGTCTCACACTGACAGGCTGAGATTTATCTTAACTGTGCTGCCTGGCACACGTTAATTCCTTTCATGCTGTCTGTCCCCACAGTGTCAGATGCTCCACTTTTACCCAGGTCAACACATTACAGCTCAGCTCAGCTCCTCTTTCCATGCTCCCATACAGGCTGAAATACACTGTGGTGATCTTATTTGACAAGTCCTGGGTGACCGACCTGCACAGGAGTATGAAAAATGACCACAAAGTATCTGCAGCTATAGGGTCTTTGTGGATGCGCCGGGCGGTCGGGGAGAATGAGTGGGAGCTTCAGTGTAGCTAGGCGCACAGCAGGAGACCACTGAGCTGCTCTTTAGCTTCTATCAGCGCCCTATGTTGTCTCTATAGGTGCAGTGGAGCATTTATGCAATCCATGTGGGAGTAAAAGCGGGGAGAGTCTGGGAGGGGGAAAAAAAAAATAATGCTACATGTACAATTTCTCCAACTCATATTTATGGTGGCAGGTCAATTACAGAAATAAATCTAACTTCCAACAGCAAGAAAAGAGAAAATTCAAGATAGAGAGGAGGGGGGGGTTTATGTGTGGTTGTCGGTGGTGGGCAGATTGTCGCCCAGTTCTCCTGAGCTTTTGGAGTTGGTGATGTCAAAGGCAGCAGCAGATCAGAGGATGGGAAACCCATCTCTGCACTCTTTCATCCCCACTGCTTCGCTGAGAAAGGGAACAGCTAGTGCCATATCTGCTCTCCCAGTGAAGGCAGTGTGTGTGTGTGTGTGTGTGTGCGTGTGTGTGTGTGTGTGTGTGTGCGCGCTAGTGGTGTGGTGTTCATGGCAAATGCTGATTAGGAAAAGAGTCTGTCATACTGCTAATCTATTTCTTAAAAAGTTGGGAGGAGTTCTACACACAGTCAATATCCAAAAACTATTTTCTCCACTGAAAGGAAAGTTCATCACATCCTATCATCCAATTATTGTGCTACTGTAACTACACGCAGTTGGATTTGATCCAGCTTTATTCTATTTGTTTTGCAGATGTATTTTCAAACGTTCCACTTCAAATATACATGATGCCATTTTGGATTCATTTATTCAACAAATTCACTTTGACATGATGGGATTCATGCAATTCAAATAAACTATGTGCTGCTTTTTACTTATCTTTTTTTCACTCAAGTTTTGCTTTTGACCTTTTAACTTTCCTCCACCAACCTTGACTTTTTCCTTCCATAATCAGTCAATATCACATTCCTTTTCTTCCACCCACTAATCCTTTATTCATTTAGGTCAAACTGTGGCATGTACGGCATCTCCAAAAAATCTTTATACATATAAATGTATTCTGTGAAAGCACTTCTCGGAAAAATATCGAACAACTTGTTCACTAAAAACAGATACAGCATTAAAGTTCTACTTTTCATACTGAATTATGCCTGGGTATAAGATCCGGCTGGCACAGCCTGAACCCTCATGAAGATAAGTGGGAACAATTTTAGCACACCCTTAATGTGTGACTGAAGGCTGATGATTTGAGAATTTTATAAATGACAGAGACTACTTTATGATGAATCCTATGTTCGCAGTATCCTGTTTAAAACACTTGTAACATGCTACAATGATGATTTCATAGAGTGATACAGTGACAATATATACATGCCTCATCAGCAGCAGTGCAAAGAGTTTTTATCTGGGCAACAATAGAGGCGAGAACTTGTTTATAGTAACATAAAGATCGATTTGGCTACAAGATATCTCAGTTTATTTGAGAACAGGAGTTTATTAGATGCTTTACAGTATAAATACAGTTGTTGCTGTGTTTGCACTCTGAGGACAAACTACTTCACTGAATCCCCCATCAGCCTCTTTGTTTGAATGATTTATGTCACTCTGTTAGCTTCTCCTCTGACATAACAACCATTCCTGGAAATATTTCCATCTCCATCTTTTAAATTTTGGATTGCCGTGATATATCAAATATTGTCTGGCTCAAATGATTTATATGGCAAAGATCTTTTTCATACTTGCCTTTGGAGCAGAACAATTCCTGAAAATCCCTTTGTGATGGAAACAAAAAGAGGCTGGCATCAAGTGGAAGACAGAGAGATCAAGGAGGTAGAAAAACGTGACATGATGGCTCACAGCTCTGGCAGATTGCATTCAATTTAAAAACAATCCAAGAGCGATCTTGATATTTATTTCAGAGCCAAGCATGAATCCCTCGGGTTGTTTTAAGTGCTTTAAGTGAAACCAATCTCGAACCCCTGCGGCATTCAGACACAGAGGGTAAAGGGTTTCAAACAAAATGCCCAAAACCTACGTTGCCTCGTCTCTCTCTCATTCAAACACCCACATAACCATCACACAATCCCCTTTCTGCTTCAATAAAAATACCAGTCCAGATACTCTTTTCCTTCATTTAGTGACTCACGTTTCGCTTCACCTTATATCTTTTCTTCCCAGCGCTGTCTCCACTTTCGCAAACATGATACGTGAGGAACATGCAAATATTAACACACAGGCAGGAACCAATTAGCAAGACGTGCGTACACCAAACACATAAAAACAGGAACACAATCAGACATAGTGACAAACCTCAACTTTCAAGCTTCCCAGAGGCATGCCTCATTTGTTGTAGTCGCATGCGGTTTCCTCATTTAGAAAAGGTGAACAAATTCTACTGAGCTACCTGCCGTGTGTATGTCTATGTGTGTGTGTTTACATAAATATATTCCTTTTCACTGCATCAGTATTCACACCGGCTCTCCACTTGTGCATAATTCCATAATTCCTCTGATAATGTTGCACCCTGAAAAACGATGTCTCTCTTTCTCTGCTCACCTCCTCTCAATCACTCATCTTCTTCCCAGAATTCCTCTAAAAGCAAAAACACACACACACACACACATACACACACACACACACACACACACACACACACACACACACACACACACACTACCCGTCTGGGGATGGACGTGTACTGCGGCTGCTTGTGTATAGTGGAACTCCACTGTTTATACATATCATATACATCTGATTAGCCCTAATGAGATTAGTGCTGACCTGTTATTCACCATGCATCGCTTGGCTGCAGCTGCCAGGCACAGAGCAACACACACACACACACACACACACACACACACACACACACACACACACACACACACACACACACACACACACACACACACACACACACACACACACACACACAGCATTGCCATCAGCATCGGAGTCACAGTGTCAGCGGGAGAGAGAGAAGCTCATTGTTTTCTTGACTCTGCCCTCAGATCACAGACAGACCCATGGGGTTTGATGATTTGATAGAAGAACGAGGTAATTATTCATTTCATTCCATAGTTTATATGTATTTGTGCTGCTTCACTACACAGTTGGTGCGAGATTATTCGAGTCACAATTTCTGCTGTCAGATAAATTACAGCATTTCTAAACTTTGTGATTTCTAGCAATTAAATCCTCAATAGAGTTTTCTGTAAACAATACACCATGGTTTAGAATTTCTACTTTAATCAAGATACCCAATCTCACTTGTTCTGAATGAGCTACTGTTTTATGTATTTGTCTTATCTGCCAAGATTAAATTCACATGTGGAGTATGGACGCTGATGGGAAATGTCTGTACATACTGTAATAGAGCAGCTAGTTGGTGAGCTAGCCGCACATACAAAAATGGACTCACTCACAACACTTTCTATTATATCAATTACAGTGAGAATTTGGGCAAACACACTGATTTACAGACACTTGTTTGCTTTCTTATCAAGCGTTAGATGAGTGTGGTATCAATCTTCTCATTTAGCTCTTAGTAAATATCTCCCAAAATGTTTAAATATTCCTTTAAAGTCCAAGTAGCATATAGTTTACAGATTTTTTGGATGTCTCAATGTTGTTGTGTTTTTGCCCGTTTTAGTACTATAAAATCATGCATTTCTGGTGTTTGAGACCCTGGGCGGTAAAACTGAGTCAGTGTCTTGAGAATACATTTCACTTGCAGTACAAAAATGAAAAGACAACAGTTGAAAAACACAGAAATGTGACATGTGATTTATGGGGCATATTATGGCTGTTTCAGGCCTCCTTTCAGACAAGGCAGAGCAGGCAGTGTCGGATCATTTTGGTGGGGAAAAAAAGGCCCCCCGGGTGACTGCAGCTCAGTGAACTGCCATCTTTCTCCTTGTCCCTAACTTTTCCACTCTGTCTCTCTTCATCCCTTCTTTCTGACCGCCTATGTTCTGCCTGAGTCCCTCCACAGTGCCTCCTCCCTTCACTTCTATCTCTTCCTCCCTTGCATCCCTTTTGTCTTTCTTCCAATGTCATCCCTCTTCCTTCACTGGTTGCTCTCTACAGTATTTAACTGAGCTGCGCGTGAGTGTGGGTATATGGGGGGCTTTGCCAGTGCCGTCACTGTCATTTTCCCTCTTTTTCTTTTGTGCGTTGGAGGTTTAATCCCTTTCTCACATTGCATTTCCACATGCTGAGGCAACAGAGCA